TAAAGAAATTTATTAATGGGATTTCACACGTGTACTTCTTTGTGGCCCCGACGAAGCATTGTGATCTTCATATGATCGTTTAGAGTCAATCAGACTCCACATGTTATTCCATCATTTTAAATTATTCCATTACCACCATTACTCTATTTTGATTAGTTTACAACGTTTTAAAATTGTACTTAAGACAATCTTAAATAATAAGAATCAACTATGAATAATATCAGAATTTAATCTTCTCCCGTATTGTGTTGCTTAAATAATGAAAAGTTAATAAAATAAGTACTGCTTTTATTTTTTACGTAATAAATGAATAAAACATTGCGTGATTGCACAATGTCATCTGAAAATAAATAGAGCCGTATGAGCGTCTCAAAAGACATTACTTATGAATATTAGTCACGGACTAGGTACACGCGAGTTAGGCGCGCTCGCCGGCCCTGAGCGTCGTTTAGACAAGACCGCTTATTCGTTAACTTTAACACGCTCTCCTGCAAAAACCACTTGTCGGACACAATTTTATTAAAAGAAAAAGTTGTTTTAGCATAAAGTATCATGTTTTGTACTCCGAATGCGGGAATTTCCGATCATCCAGTATGTGTATATATACAGGGTATCCAAAAAAGATGGATACGGGTTTTCTCGGAAGTTTTTGGAAAAAAACGTTTTAGATAAAAGTTGTAAGATTTAAAAAAATCTATTGATCTTATCAAATTATCAATTATCAGTATGATCTTGAATGGCGTGGCCAAGATCAGATTTAAATTACGTCGATTTTTTTTCCAGAATCTAATAGCTAGTATTAAGATCTTTCGAAAACATTGTAATGAAGTTATTTTTCGCACGCACGCACGCACGCACGCACGCACGCACGCACGCACGCACGCACGCACGCACGCACGCACGCACGCACGTCGAACATTTTTGAGCCGGCAGCGAGCGTTCGAATCCCGGCGACGAGTTGTCCGTGTGCGGTTTTTTTTTCTTATCTTAGAGCATATAATAAAAAAATAATTTCTTTGATTTAAAATATTTATATATAAGAATAAACAAATGATTTCTCCTTACAAGAAAAAAATTAGTTCTTTTAAATGTAAAAACTGTGTTAAATAAATATTTCCTTGCTTTAAAAATAAATAAAATACAAATAAATCTTTCTATAAATCTAAATATTGGGAGTGTGCATTAATTATAAAGGATTTCCAAGAGATGGCGTAACTAGTACTATATCGCATTGGGCCATATTGTTGCTATCTTCATGTCAAAGCACCGTCATATGGCTTTAGTTTTCAATATGTGTCATTTTGCCGAAGTGTAAACAACATTGTTTTTTGAGCATTGAATATGTCGAATTTTGTGCCAACAAAACGCAATTTTCGGGAAGCTCTGGTTTTTTGCTTCCACTTGAAGAAAAGTGCTGCTGAAAGTCAACGAATGCTGTCTGAAGCTTATGGTGATTATACTCTATCGATTTTAACATGTGAGTACTGGTTTCGACGTTATGAAAAAGGTGATTTTGACACGGAAGAAAAGGAACGTCCAGGCCAGCCGAAAAAGTTTGAAGATAAGGAAGTGGAAGCTTTACTCGATCAAGACCCGAGTCAAACGCAAGAAGAACTTGCAGAGTCATTAAATGTTGATCGATCAACGATTTCCAGACCTTTGAAGGCCATTGGAATGATTCAAAAGCAATGAATTTGGGTGCTGTACGAGTTGAAGCCGAGGGATGTCGAAAGGCGCAAAATGACCTGTGAATTTTTGCTTCAAAGACACAGAAGAAAAAGTTTTTTGCATCGTATCGTGACGGGTGATGAAAAATGGATACGCTACGATAATCCTACGATGGTGCAGGCCAGGCAAACCATCAACATCGACGGCAAAGCCAAATATTCATGGCGCTAAGCTCATGCTCTGTATTTGGTGGGATCAGCTGGGTGTAGCGTATTATGAGCTGCTCCAACCCAACGAAACCATCACTGGGGAACGCTACCAACAATTGATGCAATTACCTGAGCATTGAAGCAAAAACGGCCAGATTACGTGAAAAGACACGACAAAGTGATTTTCCAGCACGACAACGCTCAGTCATATGTTGTGAAACCGGTCAAGGAAATGTTAGAAGCGGGTAACTGGGATGGCTTACCGCACCCGCCGTATTTTCCAAATATTGCTCTTTCCGATTACCACTTATTTCGATCGATGACTCATGGCCTGTTTGAGTAACGCTTCCATTTTTATGAGGATACCAAAAAATGGATCGATTCGTGGATAGCCTCAAAAGATGTGTCTTTCGACGTGGAATCCACCTATTACTAGAAAGATGGAAAAAAGTAGTGGCTAACGATGGACAATATTTTGAATGATCAATTTGCAACCATTTGTTCACAATAGTAGCCGTATTTTTACAAAAAAAAAATCTCTTAAAATTAATACACACTCCCAATAAATTATTTTCTAATATTAAAAGTATCTTTTTGTGTTTTAAATTAAAGTTTCTTTTATTATAAGAAAATAATTTATTTAAATTTACAAAATTATTTGTATTAAAAAAAATTAAATTTATTTGTATTTTACTTACTTTTAAAACAAATAAATATTTTTTAAATATATTTTTTAGATAATTTTTAAACATACCTTTTACATTTAAAAAGTTCTCTTCTTCTAAATAAATTATTTGTTTTCTTATATGTATATATCATATGTATACAATACAAAGCGTCTCTTTGTCAAATTAACAATGGTGCAATAGGAAAGGTGAACTATTCAAGAACCAGAGGTCTCAGATTCGAATCTCAGCAATGGTAAGCAAATTTTTTAAATACAATTTAAATTGAATTAAGTAACGTGTGAAATAATAAAGAGGAAAATTTAAGAAAAATTCAGGAAAAGAGAAAATGTATATAAATATATATAAATGTATATATATATATATA